TTAACAATAATAGTATTAATATTTTAAGAACAAATAATTAGTCCTAAATTATTAACGTTAAAAATTAAATAGCTATTTTCAAAACGTCAGCATTATTTGATACCAATTTTTTGATAAAATTAACAACATTGAATATTTCAAGAATGGCAGATCTCTATTTTTAATACGTACGTACGTACGTACGTACGTAAAATTGGGCTTAATCTATTGCTATCACTATGGTTTTGACGTGTTCATTTAAGCCTCCAAATAATCAAAAATGGACCAACCAATTCTCAAAATAATATCGATACAAAATTAATGTTAATCAATTTTCTATTGCTAACTTCCATTTTTGAATTCATTTAACGTTGAGAAAATCAGCCCTGAGTAACAATAACGATTAATACTATATGAATTGCCGATTCGTTTTTTATCATTAAACAAATTCTATTGTTATGGATATCGTTATAAGGATTCATTTAAGTCTAAATTTATACAAAACGGAACAGCTGACCTCAAACTAGAAGTAGTACATAGCGATAGATTCGTACGTACGTACGTACGTACGTACGAATTTTGGAAATTTAAGCCGCCTACTTTATAACGTTAAATCATTTTATGAGATTTATCTTATCGGGGCCAACCCGTCGATCACCCGGGTGACCCGGGTAGCAATTTTTTGAACGGGTACATCAAATTAGAATACCGATACATGTAACGATAATCGATAGATAAATAAACGTGGTGCGTGGAGAAAGATAGACTTTTACACTCGCATGTACGTATGCACATATGTGCCGAAATGTTTATTAAATAAATTCCATTTGAAGAATTAAAATTCATGATGTATAAACGTAAATATAAACGTAAATATAAAGATAACGATACGGTATGAAATTTGTGTAATTAGATTAGTAAACAGGGACGGGGAGTAGGTTGTACAAAGGATATTTTCTAAATACGCCTTTTCTGGGCCATATGACAAAACAAAAAATACGTAAGTACGTACACGTCTTAAGGGAGTGCATTCATAAACCGAATCACATAAACCGAATCATAGAGTACATTTATATAGTCAGTGCAGCTACGGACTTACGGACCTACAGACCTACGGAGGACAGAATTAGAGAGATCTCGGTATATGGATTAACAATCATGTAATTTATCTTATTTGTAACAAACAAAATTTGTAACTCGAAAGAAAGAATAAGAATGATCGGAATGATTTACAGAAGATAGGTACGCAGGTACGTAGGTAAATTTATTTAGATAGTGCCTTTTTACTATGTTTAATTTTTTTTTCTCACTATGTAACAAAATATGAATATATTTATCCGTTCTGGGAAGCTTTTTGATTTTCTGTATCATGGAAATTTATAAAAATTACGTAGCGGATATGTATTATGAAGTCATTGATTTAAAAAAGTTATCCACCCTTCAAATAAAAAAAAAAACGAAATGTTTTAAAAGGAGTAGACTTTATTAATTACGTAATAATTTTTAAATGAGCGAATAAAGTCACATGATCACGGTATCCAAGTTGAAACTAATATAGTAGTAAATGCATTTTTTTTTTTGAACACAAGCTGATATAATTTATACAAAAGATGCCATTCATAAGACCAATTATAGATAAAAAAAAGTTAGGCCGGAAAACAACGAAAATTTAGACTAAAATCCAAAATTCAACAAATTTGAACCACATAATTGCACATGAACATTGCATATGAATATTGCCATTATGTTTTATCGAATGTTTTTATGGACTCTAACTAATATCCGAAAATAACAATAGGAATTCAATAATGAATACTTAAATTATGCAAGAGAAGGTCATAAATTTATTGAAATAGAAGGAATCATAATAATAATAAATGCAAATGTAAATTGTAATATGTACCCTGCATATTATTTACACGTGTTTCTTTTCTCTAACTTAAACATAATTTAAAAAAATTTCAAATTTTTGCTTCTTGATTTGGGTTTTTTTTCTTGATTTGGGTTTTGCTTCTGATATGGGTTTTGCTTCTGATATGGGTTTTGCTTCTTGATTTGGGTTTTGCTTCTTGATTTGGGTTTTGCTTCTTGATTTGGGTTTTGCTTCTTGATTTGGGTTTTGCTTCTTGATTTGGGGTTTGCTTCTTGATTTGGGTTTAAAGGCTTATCGTTCTACGAAGAAAATTATTTTTAAAGTGTATTTTATTATCAATGATATTCTGGTACGTACATACAGTACATATCTATACATATGACAGCTAAGGATATTTATCGTTATGGTATATTTAAATATTTGATTATATTTAAATATTTGATATCTTGTTTTCATAGTCAAATTTTATTATGATTTTATCCTACGTATAATAATATAATTGATAACGGTAGACAAGTTTTTTGATCATTACAATATTGAGAGCTAAGTAACACAGCCATATTATTCCCACTAAGCCTGTCAAAATATTTGAATATTATTAAAAACCCGAGGCTCATGCGTTATAAAAGCCTCGAGCAATGGTTGGCGTTAGATAAACATTAGCAGAGTAAATTGCTTGTATCTTTATTATGTTTTTGACTACGTAACAGTTAAAGGGATTTCACCTATTGGTTGCTTAGAACGCATTACATATACATAAGTATTTTCAAATCTGTCAAGGCATTCGAATCGTATTAAGAATATTAAGTTACCTAATTATAACTTGATTTTTAATACGTACGTATCAGTACGTACCTGGTATTACGTATTAATTTAACAAAGTCCTTATCGTTATGTTAAGTCCTTATGTTATAGGTCACGCATACAATATATGCATACATTTACGTACGTAGCATAATGAAATCATGTACGGTACGTAAGTCGTGAGAAAAATTCATAAAGTATGTATTTAGTATGTATGCATATTTTCCAAATAAACCATAAAGAATGCGATGACGCGAACCTGAACGCTAAATGTAGATAAATCCGTAGAGCAAAAGGAAATATTGATTTCATCTTAAATTATCTTAAATTAGAATTATATAAATTCATTCTTACAGGTTTGGAATGAATGAATGAAGCTGGTTTAAATGGATACAGCCATTGTAATTAACAGGAATCTGTTTTATGAATTATACATGAATAAATAATGAAACATTTTTATATACAACGATAACGCTTTAGATATCAAAGTTAAAGAAACACCAATAAGATAAGACTTTAAAAAAAAAAGAAAGAAAAAAAAAAGCATAACCGAGAATAGAAATAGAATCTTATAATAACAAAAAGAAAAAACAATTAATAGTGCATAGATAATTGTGCATGGATAAATAAGTTCTAAATCGTTGACAAATCAATATTAAATATCATCACATGTGCAATTTGCGAAATATATAGTCAAATATATATCAGATGATCGTTTCCCTGAGACAGTCAGAAGGTAACTTTGTAACAAACAAAGTACAATCGTATTTCATTTTTTTATTATCACTAAAAAAAAAAAAAAAAAATTTTTTTTTTTACATTATATGAACCAGAATTTAGATTACTTGAAACAAAAAGTTCGATCATTGCCAGACTTTAGAAACTCGGTTCTTTAAACTTTCGCACACACGATCTTCTCGAACGCACCAATGATAAGAAACCTCCTACCTTCTACCTTCCTGTAACGGATAAATTATAATCGAATTTGCTATTTTTGCATATATTATTTGTTGAATTACAACATATAGGATACATTACCGTGTGAGGATCATAATTTCCGAAATACCTTTAGAACCGCCATGTAGCCTTATAAATAGGAATCTATATTACAAAATCGGGGCTATTTACAATTATCGTTTTAACAATTATTACTTAATAAATTATAATGTTATTATAAATGTTAGGCTGTAAATGAACTAAGTTTAGTTTCACTGCCGGATTATTTAGTTTTTTTTTTTTTTTTTTTTTTTTTTTTTTTATTATGATTAAAAGTTGTTTGGAGTTAAAAAATTTACATACAGAATTTGATGATATTTATACGTATTTATTTACAAAGAAACCGGTAATCTGGTATCAACTATCTTGTTTATCACACGTACCAGGTTTTGTGTTTTTTTGATAAAAAGTGTCGAAAATCCAGTTTGAACTAGTAAGTGGGCTTTTCTCCCGTCGCCTTCTTTATAATTTACCATTTTTACCTACGCATCTATATATAAATTTATAGAACCTCAGTTGAACTGAGCGGTGATTTCTTACACTCCTCGAGAAGAAATTTAAGATTATTCTTTTCTTCCGAACGGCGTGTTATTAATATTATTGTTATTCGTTAGTTCTCTTGGTCCATTGTCCATTGACAATAGTGACAATAAATACTTTTCTGTTAATAACAATTGTAAAGAGGGATAGCTGTTTCATGTAATATCAGTTCGGTTAACCTCTGTAAAAAAAAAATCAACAGAAAAGTAGAAATTATTTTTATTAAAATAAATATATAAAATAATCATTTATCATTTATTCGTTGATAACAATAATTTTACCTAAGAACGACTTATTACGATAGTGTAATCAAAATATGCGTGCTTATTGAAGTAGTATTCTTAATTCCATTTATCGACATAAAAACCGTACAATAATAACCTTTAAAAAAAAAAAAAAAAAAGAAATTTCTTAATTGATACAACTGAAAATAAAAAGAACAATTCATTGAAAAATTCACACCTCAAAGAAAAAAACACCCCTACAAATTAAACTTCCCGTTTATATAATTCGAAAAAAAACCCCCAAAATCCAAAATTTTTTTATGATTCTCAAACATTTTATTAATTAGAGAATTTTGAAAAAAAAAAAAGCAAAAAAAAAAATGGCATCATTCAATCAAAATGTAGATAATTCTTCAGTTTTCACATTTCAACCATACGAACCTTTATATCCTAGTTCAACGTTTACTCATAAGATACATAATCAAATTACAAGAAGTAATAGTTTTCAAACAAAAAAAAATAGCGAAGCTAATTACCATTCAACATTGAAAAAAAATGATCAGAGACTTGACTCAGCCATATGTATGCCATCCGCAAAAAAATCCACGACGTGTTGTGATACTTCTAAAGGTGCTGCGATGTATATAAAAAATAATGAAAGTTTGGAGCGATGGGTAGATGACTTGTTGAAAGAATTTGACAATGTTATGTCTGTAAACTTAAATACCGACATTTGCCAGGATAATAATCGAAGAGTTAAGGAAGTACGTATTTTTATTATTATAAAATATTATAAAATATTATTATAAAATATTATTATAAAATATTATTATAAAATATTATTATAAAATATATGATATAAGATAAAACTAATCATGTGATTTGGTTTTATAAAGTTAATTAAACGGATTGATGACAGGCTTAATCAAACTATAACAGACGACTTTGAAGGTCTTCGGGAGGTTAGAATATTATGTTATTATGTTATTTCAAGTATATTATTTATTCTACTTGTTCTATTTGCTGATTCTATTTTACTTTGTAATTTTTTTTTTTTATAGTTTGTTCGTGGAAAGAAATTTGATTATGAGCTCAAAATAAAAAATGTAAATATGTCTGCTTTATTGTATGGTTGTGCGGTTGTGCGGCTAGAATGATTTTTATAAACCGATATTATTTGATAATATAGGAATTTTCAAAAGATTCTGATATAATAGACGAAACGTGTGAGAATGGTAATGCCGACGAAACACTTTCTGTTGATCATTCAACCGATACTACAAAAGTGGTACGTTCATATTCATTTTACTGTCATATTTTATTATTATTATTTTTATTATGATTATTAAAATTTTATGCATTTGTATATAGCAGCAGTCTGCACCAAAGTTACCATCAAACATAGCAAAAAAAACAACCGGCAAGATTACGCGTGTCAAGGTTTATACAAAAAATCATTGCCAAAAAGTCTTCCATAATAGAAAAAGACATTCCGCCAGATGGTTGTAATTATTGCCTGAGCAGCCAAGAAACACGAACATCCACTCATGATCAAATTGATTCTGTCAAGAGTAGGATAGAAATTGCACGGAGGCAGAATTCACATATTGTTGGCACGATTGTGAAACGAAATAAATTTGAAAGACTTTTGAATGGTCGATATCTTATTGATAAAAAAGATACCATTGGTGAAGGGCATCATGGAAAGGTTTTCAAGGGTAATTTATTAATTTGTCA